AGCCCTTCGGTGTCGATGCTTCGTATCGCAACCCTGCATCGCGCAGTGACCGTGTGAGCACCATTGCGGGGAACGTACCGCCGAGCGCCACCGTCCTCCACGTCATCCGTCCGTCCTTGGTCACGTGCGACGTCTACGACGCTTGTGAAGCGCGTCCTTGATGCGTACTGTACGCGTGTGCGCCAGAGCCAGCCTTGGGCCCTTGATCAAATCTTCGAATAAATTGGCAAAATTCCAACTGCAAATTTTTGGCTAAAACCTCAGCGAGATTTTTGATTGGTGCGCTGGCAATCGCACATCAACTAATCCCAAAAATTAGAACGGGGTGGTGCGGGTGCCAAATCATGATGTTGCGCCGATGCCCGTATAGCACCGACGGAGGCCGTACTGTTCCGCTCGCATACATGTGTTGCTTGCCTCGCAAGTCCTCTTCCTTTCCACACATCAAAAAAAGCCTTGTGTGCGTTCTTGATTTCTTTGGCTCATATGTAAGGTAATTGAGCAAGCGTGTTGGCGTACAAGACCCGCTCCTTTGCCGTCATCACAAGGGCCCGGCACTCATCAACTGTGTAGACAGAACCGGCTTGCTTCTGCCTTATTTTCGGGTGTCGCAAACTCAGCAGTTCCGTGAGCGAAACGCGAATGATATCTTGGCGCAGGTAGGCGTCTCTGCCGCCATTAGGACTTCGGCGAAGAACAAATGGCGCCATCTTCTAAATCCAATCACCGTGTCGCTTTCCTTAACTATTTTCCTTATCTTCCGTGTAGGTCGCGTCACAAGTCCTCGTATTCGCGTTCATCGTTAATGTTTTCGCGTGGAAGAACGTACGGCTACTTTTCGTGATGTGCGTCGCGTGCGTTGCCCCAGCCCTTGTTTCCGTTCTGACGTTCAGACCCCTTTTTCATTCGCTCGCACGCAAGTACCTTGCCACGCAGTCTCACCGAACAGCGCGCTCCTGCCCTTTGATAAAAATGGCCGCACCTCATCGAATTGAGCAAAAGATGGGACGGAGATGGCCCCGGGCACAAGCGCAGATGCTGAGGTTGTGTGACCCGGGGATGTTCTCTGTGGGGATGGGACTCGTCAATCCCATGCTCTGGAACGGGGAACGGCAATGATCAGATGAAAGCGATGGGTAACTGACGCGCCTGACGCGTTGGTCTAAATGGGCGCTACCTGAGAATCTCTGCGGACGTGCAGCGAGGCTTAGGCGCCTTCCGGCAGTGACGGCAGCGGGTCCATTTGAACACATTCTCTCCGCGCATCAGTGCGGTTTTAGGAATCGTTGGGAGGCCGGTATAAGGGACCAGTTGGTCGGCTTGCCGCAGAGGAGCGGCGAACTACTCTGGAAATGATCGCGACGGCTCCAATTTTCAGCTTTGTCTTTGCGCACGTCTCTTGTCTCACTCTATTTCTCCAAGTTCCGATAGTGAGGGGGAGGTTCCTAGCCGGGACCACACCGGTCCCCCTTAAGATCTATTTTAAAATCGAGGGCGTGGTTCACGGTGCCACGCCGCGATGAGGCTTTGGGAAAAACTCCCCCTCAGCTCCTCCATGATGATGGGCGAAGCCCATGGCGGCTTGCCCTTCGCGTCTACCTTCACACCGTTCCCGAGCCCTCAACTCCCATTGAAGTAACTGTTTCCCCGACGGTGCGTGAGGATGTCGGCTGCGTTTGTCACGACAGCGCACAGTCCAGCCAAGTTCTTTTTCTTTCCCCATCGTTTCCTTCCAGTAGGGGTCCGTTTCAAGATCGAGCTAAGCGCATCGACGGGTTCTCGTGACTAACGCGAGGGTGGTTCCTCTAATGGCGTCGTGCGCAGGCGCAGTACGCCGAGGTCCTTGCGACGGGTTCTTGCTTGCGGTGGCGGGGGTGCGCCATGCCTTGGTCTCTTCTATGGCCACTTGGCCTCTGCCCCGTTGAGCGGCAGTCTTATTCATACCTTGTTCGTCGCGCGACAGTCTTCTGGTCTTCTCTTCTTTTCCCGTTGTTCATGCCCCAAGGGTGTGGACGTAACTCATGTTGGTTGTCGCGAGACGAACTTCTGCTTCGCGTGCGCGGTTCGCAAAAACGACGGATAAGTCAGAGTCAGTGGCCCCCGAAGGTGTCCTACGCGATTGGAGAGGCGTCCCGCCCCGCTGATATGTATTCGAGTGACTCAGGTAGCATTTGCGGGACGATCGCGTCTGCGCGGCCGTGCCGCGTACATTCGGCCGCAACTGCACGATCGCCGGCATATTCAGCCCCCATGTTATCTCGAGGGCTCGTCCATGTTTGTGGTCTGCGTTTTAGTCTCGTTTGCTTCCCGATCGCGGCTGCGCGGCCGTGTCGCTTACATTCGGACGCAACTGCGCGATCGTTAGCATAGCTAGCTCCGTGCTGCTTCGAGGGCACGTTTGCGTACATCATGCGCGTTCCGGTATCATTCGCGGGACGATCGCGGCTGCGCGGCCATGTGGCGTGCAATTCGGCCGCGGCTGCGCGATCGCCCACAGGGTCCGTACCCATGACGTCCAAGGACGTGGTGGCGAGGAGGGGCGTCGGCCGCTTGGATCGCGACGCGGTGCGAGTTACCCCAGAGTTGCGTGTCCCGCGTACGGCTTTCCAGTGTATGCCATGTCGCTGACGGCGTCATCCGAGCTAATTTCTCGTTAAATTTCGGCCTGGCGGCGGCGGCTTGGCCACTGCACGCAAGCGTACAGTACCGGACGTCATCCCCTGCCCAATCATAAGGCGTTGGCTCGTCTCGTGACTTGCGGCGTCTCACGTCCGAGTCCTGGCGCTTATCTTCATTGCTCTTCGTGCGCGTGTGCTGTGCTCTCTACTGTCTGTCTGTGGACCCAGTGTTCCATCTCAACTTGCGTATTATTCCGACGTCAACCGTCTCGTTCGGGCGTTTGGTAAGGTATCTTCAGCCTTCTGGCTTTTGCGAATACAGTCCGCGTTCGTCCGTCTCGTTTGCACGGCTGCTCAGGGTCCAATTCTTTCTTGAATGTCGACTCTGCCGAGGGGCACGCGTCCTTCGCTTCTCTGAATTACTTCGAACGCAATGCGTCAGAAAGCGGTTGAGGGCCCCCCCTTAAGGTTGAACGTCCGCGTTCAACTCGGTTGTCAGGTCCCTACCCGTGCGTGCGCGTAGTCGGCTCGCGTAACGCGAGACAAGTTCTTAGGAGATATGTGTCCTTGCTGTCCACGTGGGATCCTCGTAGTCTGCCCACTTCACCTTGATCGCCGCGGTCCTGTTTTACATTACGCGATGATCGAGAAGCCGGTCCACCGCGTACTGTGTCCCCGTGGTGACCTTGTCAGCAAGATCACCCGGCGCGGTTGTGCTTGCCCGTGGTGCGTCCACAGGTGGTGGCGCATACACACACCTATCAGCGGACACGCGTTCTGTGACCCCATCACGATCAATCGTGATGGTACGTTGGTCATTCGCGAGGACGCGGTAAGGCCCCACGGCTGGTGACGCGAGCTTATTTGATGTCTTCGCTCCGTCCGTAGGGTCGAGGTATTCATAATTTCCAGGCTTAACTCGCGTGTTTACGCATCTCACGCGTTTGTCGAAATCGCGTTTGTAGCGAGCCTGCGTTCGTCGCAGGCTGCTATATGCCTTCTGAATTGTCTCGTCCAGTTTCTTAAGGAACTCCGCGCGATGCGTTTTTCAATCCGGAAGGGGCGCGTTCCCCTCCGTCCTTCGAAGCGAAATTCTGGGGGAGGTCGACTGAGTACAAGCTCGAATGGGGTCGTACGCGTAGACCTGTGTACGTGGGAGTTGTAAGCGTCAGTTAATGGCCCCACGTACACATCCCAATCGTTTTGGTGTTCGTTGACGTAGTTACGCAACATAGACGCAATAGTACGGTTGTAGCGCTCCACTTGGCCGTTGGTCTGGGGATGGTACGCGGACGTATACAAGTTCGTAATCCCCAGGATCCGGCATGCGCTGTGGAAGAACTTCGCGTTAAATTGAGGTCCATTATCGGACAACAGCCAACGCGGAATGCCGTACTTGAAAACCCACGCGTCACAAAACGCAGTCGCCACTGTGTACGCGGTCACTGTCCTCAACGCGACGACTTGAGTTAACTTTGTGAACCGGTCCGTTATTACCAGAAGGTATTGTTTTCCTCCCTTGGTCTTCGGAAGCGGTCCAAGAATGTCTATCGCGAGGCTCTCCAATGGACGCGTAGCGGGGAACAATCTCAGCCGGTTGAGATGTTTTCGGAGTTTGACGCGATTCTTCGCGCATGTCCGGCATCTGCGTACTGTCGCTGCCACGTCCGCGGCCAAATGTGGCCAGTAATACCAGCGTCGGAGCGCGTGATACATTCGGTTCTTCCCCAGATGTCCCGCGATAACGGGGTCATGGCAGAGCCGCAACAGACGCGCGCGTAGTGACTGAGGGACCACCACTTGAATGATTTCAGGATCGTAGGGGTGCTTGCGCTTCAAAACCCCATGGTGGTCCTCAAAGAACGCGGAGTCGCGACTTTCCGATTGTCTGGCCAGTACGGTTTGGCAGAAATCGTTGACGCGTTGCTCCTCGGCTATCTCCTCCAGGGTGAGAGGGGCCGGCAGGTCGTTTTGTGGAGGAGCGACCTGGGAGCCTGACGCGTCAATTCCTGGTTCTTGAGCACGTTCAATATCCACCGCGTCGAATTCTTCTATGTCAGCCCATAGGTCGTCGCGTTCTTGTAAAGCCGGGGCTTCTTCGTCGCCCACCGGCCCGTCGCGTGAACGCGCTTTTCTCCTTCTCCCCGCCTTGTTTCGCGTTGTGACGAACACGTGGTCGCTGTTGTGGTCGCATTTCGCGGTACAAGTATGGTCCCGTAATTCGTCTGCCACATCGCGTACGGTAGTGCCGTCGAAGGTGGGAATGTCGTTATCCACCTCGACGGCCTTCCGGGGATCGTCGGCGGTCGTCGGGGGAATGAGATGCGACAGCGCGTCGGGTACTTGATGAACGCGTCCAGGTCTGTATTGGATGGTGAAGTCCTACTCCGCTAACCGTAGTCGCCAACGCGTCAGTCGGCCGGAGCTTTCTGTGAGGGACATCAGCCATCGTAACGCGTCATGGTCTGTCCTCACCGTAAATTTGGTTCCCTCAATGTAGGGCCGTAGTGTGCGGACGGCCCACACTACGGCGAAACATTCGCGTTCAGTCGCACTGTAGTTCCGCTCACTATCGTTGATGGAATACGACCAATAGCCGACGAGACGCCAATCGTTGGTCCCGTCGTGCTCTTGTAAAAGCGTGCACCCCAGTTGATACGCGCTCGCGTCAGTATCAATCATATACAGCCGTCCGTACCTCGGGAGCGCGAGAATAGGGGGCGCAATCATCCGCGCGTTCAGCTCTTCGAACGAGTGAACCTGAGCCGCGGTCGGGTTATCGTAGTCCGGATCCGCGTCCTTCCGCGTCATATCGGTGAGGGGGCGCGCGATTTTCGGGAACCCCTGCACAAAGCGGCGGTAGGCATTACATGCCCCGAGAAATGACCTGACTTGTGTCAACGTTCGGGAAAATGTAAATGTCTTGAACGCGTCCGCTGCGGTTTCTGCCACGCTTAACTTCCCTGGAGATATCACATGCCCCAGGTAGTGTACGCGTGGCTGAAAGAAGCTGCATTTGTTCAACTTGAGAGAAATGCCGGCGCTTCTCAAAAGTCCCAGAACCGCGTCCAAATGTTTTGCGTGCTCCGTGTGCGTACGCTAAAAGACGATAACGTCGTCTAGATACTCTAGGCAAATCTGCCATCACACGCGTGATAGAATTATGTCCAGCGCGCGTTGAAAAGTGGCTGGAGCTCCGCGTAACCCAAATGGCATCCGCAAATGTCGGAACGTTCCCATATGGGTGGTGAAGGTAGTTTTGTAGCGGTCTTCCGGCGCGACCGGAATCTGCCAATATCCTGAGTTACAGTCCAACGTAGTGAACACAGCCGCGTCCTCCAATGAATCAATACAGTCGTCCATACGCGGAAGCGGATACGAATCTGCCAGCGTTTTCGCGTTCAAGCGACGGTAGTCCACACAGAAGCGTAAACTACCGTCCTTCTTTGGGACAAGGACGACCGGGGACGCCTACTCCGTATTCGCGGGATCTATCACTCCCGCGTTTAACATTTTCTTCACTTCTTTCGCGACCATTTCACGCATCGCGGGCCCTTTGCGGTAGGGCATGGCGCGTATCGGCTTTGTGCCGGGCTCAAGTGGGATGCGGTGTTCCGTCGCTCGGATCATTCCGAGCGACCCGCTCCACAAACTTGAGTGTTCGCGTAGCATCTCAAGCACCTGTCCGCGTAATTTCTCGTCCTTCACATGTGATAGATCAATCTCCTTTTCCCAATCTTCCGCGTTCGACTTGGGATCCTTATATTGTACGCGTCCGGTATCTTCGGCGAGATTTTGGTACCCCCCGTGCTCGTCGTCCTCGTTCTTGTTCACGTTCATATTTGCGGTGGAGTCAGGCCGTCCGGCTCCTAATTTTCCTTCTTGGCCGTCCAAGTTGGAAATGTGCAACGCGTGCGCGATCTCCTCTGCCACCCGACGCTCCGGTGTCAGAATGGCAAGAGGGTTCCGTTTCGCATATCCGACGACTGTATGTTTCGGCAGTCGTCGTACCTGACGCGAAAAATTCGCGACCATAACCTCGAAGACCTGGTTTGGTAGCACTTCCGCGACTCCGTTGGTCAGCCGCACCCCGTGGCGGTGCTGCAGCGACGGCTTGGGCTCCAAAAATACCAGGCCTCTCCCCGCTGTCGTAACGCGTACGCGAACTTGCGACATAGCGGGGACATTTACCTAGCGCGCGATCCGAATCGGGTGCTGGGTTTCTTTGCGTACTTCTGCGCGGTTGGTCTCGCGTCCATGTTGCCTTGTAAGGGGAGACGGATCCCCCTTCGCGTTCACGATGGCCACGGCGCCCCCTGCCGGAGCTCGAGCCTCTGGGCTTCTATGTCGATGCTCCGGACATGCGCGTCAATTAACGCGGTGCCCAGAAGCACGGGAACAGCCAGTTGGTCCGCGACGACGAACGGGACTCGGAACATCGTGTTCCGAATCCGGACAACCAAACGGACCACTGCGCTCAGCCTCAACGGGTTGCTGTTTGCTCCGGCCAGCCTTGGCAATGGCGCGTCGCGCATTGCGTGTCGGGTCCAGTCGGGAGGAAGGTCGGCCTTCCTCACCAGATTGTAGCCAGAACACGTATCGACGGCGATAGTGTACGGCTTGAACGCGTTCTTCTCAGTAGCTATCGAGCCCAATATATTGTAGATCTTGGACGTCATCAGACAGACGGCGCCCTCGACGATCTTAGGCGGGGCCGTTCGCTCCAGGTCATTTCGCTTTGGGCGTCGGCGTCGCGTCTTGCCCCTTCTTCGCGTTCTTCTTCCTTGACTGTCGGAGTCCGGGGCCTCGCGTTCGTCTTTCGACCCTTGACTCCTTGGGCCCAATGAGGAACCCACGCGCTTTTCACGCGTTAGTTCTTCACGCGGCGCGTTCTCGACGCGCACGTCGCGTTCTTCTTCTTGCACCGGGCTCTCGCTGGCCCTGGCGCCTTCACGGCGGATCCATGGCCTCCGACCTCCGGAGGTCGGGAAATATTCGCGTTCGTGGGGTGGTACCGGGCTTACGAAAGTCGCGGTAATTTCGCGTTTGTTAAATACTTGTTTTTGCACCGGACCGGCGGCGGTCCCGGTGACTTCGTGTTGCGGCGAGGGGAATATTATCGGTAAATATTCACGTCGACCTTGATAGGGGTATATGGACGGGTCGGGGGTATAAGAGCGAGACGGTTCACGTGACCGCGTAAACGTGACCGCCTTTACGCGTTTTTTGAGCTACCTGAACTATCCGTGCTAGTCGCGCCGCTATCTGTAGCCAACGCGGCTCCGGACCTCCGTTCGAGTGGCTGGCCTGGCCCTACCCACTCTGGAGCCGGAGCATCCCCGAAGTACTCGGGTACCTCGCCGGGTTGATTTTCAACGTTCGGACGTTGTAAAATCTGGGGGGGCCGCGAGAGTTGGCTCTCGCTCGCTTTCCTGTAGGGGCAGGGGATACGGATCCCCTGCCCAGTCCTGCAGGTACATTATCGCGTTCTGTACCCCCGTCGGCAAGCTGGACCGACCACGTTCTCCTCTTCCATCTTGACGCGGGTATCGCGTGTCGGCTTGTCGGAAATGGCGTTGTTCGCGCCTGTATTCTCCTTCGCGAGGGGCGAAACGAACGCCTCTTCCGGGGCGATTCGCGTGGCCCGAACGCGGACCACGGTCACCAGCGACCGACTGTTGGAGGAGGTTCCTCATCCCTGGACGCGTCTGTAGTTGGTACCGGTAGTTTCGATACGCTGTAAACATCCGCTGCTCCGGCGCGAGGAAGGGGCACGCGTACATGGCATGGCCGTGCGTTCTGCACAGCCAGCAGACGTACGCGCTCCCGTCGGCTGAGGCGAAGGTCCCCGCCTGACGAGGCTCTTCCTCGGTGAGCCGGGGAACACAGGAGAGTATGCGTCCCCCTCCTTGACGCGAAATGTCCAATTCCGCGATGCGGTGGTCCGGACCACCTATCGCCGCTGAGGTATGCCCGAACGTGGTGGCAAAGCTGCCCGTTGTCTCCGTCGACGCCGGCGTTGACGGCCGGCCTCCTGTAGCCTCCCCGCCTCTCATGACGAAGACGGGGTCAGCTTCCCAATCCTCCTCGTTAACGTGGAGGGCTGACGCGGGGGAGCTCGTCGCGTTCGACCTGGCGGCTCTCCCTCCCCTCGCTGCCGGTTTCGGGTCCGGCAGCGGTAGTCCGCGTCGGGCGCGAAACGTGGTTCCTTCTGCGGTCGCGATGCGTCTGATAATTTACAGGTCCGTCTTCTGGTTCGCGGGCAAGCTCTGGACGGTCTCTGCCACCGCTGCTCGCGTCGCGGGAGCCAATCCGCGTACAAAATAATGGGCCAAGGCTTGCTCCGTAAATACGGCGGTGCACTTGAACGCGTTCGATTCGAGCCTATCCGCGAACGCGTTTTCCGTCTCATGCGGCTTCTGATGAGCCGACGCGACGGCATCGTGCGCTACCCCCAGGACGTCATCAGTGAGGTAGCGCTTGATGAATTGATTAATAAGCCCAGGCCAGCTCACATCGTCATGGAGCTGGCCTGCGCAGATTCGGCGCATAGTGTACCTTGTATATAATCTTTCCGCGTCGCCTTCGAGAAAATGTGCAAGGACGCGAATCGCGACCCCTTCCGTCAGATGTTGCGAATTGAACGTGATGCGCACATCTTTCAGGAAGGGGAGTAATTCAATCGCGTTCGTTCCATGGAAATTGCGCATCGTGGGACGAATCCCACGGCAACGCTGCACATATTTCGCGATTCGCCCCGCGTCCCCTGACGTGACGAGGGTCGAGACGTTGTCCAGGCGATACATCCTGCAATTAGCTACGGAGCTAAATTCCTGTATCATCGTGTGGACCGCCTCGACCGCGGGGGCCGCGGGGCCCAATGTGCCAAATGGGGTCACCGGTAGCGTGCAGACGTCTACCGGGCCCCGACGCGTAGTGAGATCCTGGGGCTGATAGCCGCCCCACCGGGGATCAAAAGCGAGAATCGGTTCTCTCGATCCCCGGGTGGTATCCCCGCGTCTGGTCTCGTCCGCGTAAGGTACGCGAACCGTCTGCCGCATGTCTCCGGCGACATGCAGCAGGGCTTGGGTTTCGGACGCGAAAGTTGCGTCCATTCTTGTTCGATCTCCTCGTGCGGGCCGACTGGTGTCACCACCGGCCGGCTCCAAATCTTGAGCGCCGGACGCGTTCGGAGGTACAGTACCACCGGGCCCTAACGATGGGGCCCCGGGTGACGTCGCCGTCGGGGTACGTTCCATCTGACGAACGCGTCGGCGTGTAGAATTTAACTGCGCGGTCACAAGGGCAAACGCGCGCATCTGTTCCGCGGAAGGAAAAGATCTCGCGTCAGTACGTCAGTTCGGGGCGGCCTTCCCCGAACTCGTCGGGGGAGTCGAGACGCGATTCCTCAACGAGCACCAGTCGACTCTGCAGTTGATCGACTAGTGCTCGGAGGTTATCCAGAGACTGGGAGACGCGTTCAAACCTCCCTTCGCGAAGGGATCGTAGTTCTTCCATGCAACGCGAATATACCGCGTCGGTTACGTCGATTCGAAGTGCGGTCCAGACCTCCTCAATATACGTCGCGATCCAGTCATACATCGCGCGTGCGCGGCCTTCTGATAATTCAGGCGACGGTTCGCGGTCACTGAGACCTGCGCCACCGCCGCCGAATGGGACGCGGAGCGCGGCTGACTCGGAGGTGCGGAACGCGGTTGACTCCATATTCGCGGGCTCGGATTGAATTGAGGGGGCGGATCCTTCTTCCATTTCGACGCGTGCGGACGCCGACTCGAACGATAGTCTTCTTGCGATAATCCGGTGGCCTTCTAGGTCGGGAGACTAATGTAGCATAAACCCCCGGTCGCGTTGGGGGTTTAGCTGTGGTTCTTCGAAGACCTGTGTACGCGAGAGAGGACAAAAACACACACACCAGAAACGAACGCGGGCGGTGGTAGCGTGGTAGAGCGGTGGGGAGCGGACGCGAACACAGTACGCGGTAGAGCGGTTCGACGCGCTCGACGCCCCCGGGCGGCGCAAGTTAGCGTTCTAGCACCGACGGGCGGTGGCGGATCCAGCTCGTGCGCGTACGTTCGCGACCGCTACGCGGGTTAGTTTCTAGTTAACGCGCTCGCGTTAAGAGAACGCGTTTAGAATAAGCGGACGGGGTTAGACCTGCGGTGGAGGATCTGGTACCAAGCCCGTGCTTGTCCTTG